TGTCTAGAGAACTCAGAATATTTCCATATTGCCTAACAGAGACTCGGTACCATGAGCAAAAATCAGCGTAATCCAATGTATTTCATTAACGTGATAAACACATACAGAGGAGTTTCCTTTATTCATTATTATAATCTCCTAAATAGATTGGAGGAGTTGTTCAGGTAGTGTTCTACAAATTTTATCTGCATATAATTTGCCAAACTCAAGCTCTCTGAACATGTCAGAGAATGAATGCAAACACCGAGCTAAGAGACTGATAGTACATAAATCATGCACCTAATTTTTCAGTATGCCTCACTACATCCAGATTTTTTTAATAATTCAAGACAATACACAATTGGTGGTTAAGGGACAATGTCTAACAACAAAACTAGGAGACATATAATCATACCTAATCCCTTTGTCCTAGAGAGGCAAGCGCATAGCAACACATGGACAATCATTACCAGGTGGTTTTTCCCCTCCACTGTGGCCTGTTTCTTTTGGTTTTTGCCTTATAATAATAATATCACTGCTGTTGCTGGATTTGACTCATAATTAACACCATCTGTGCCTAACAAAGACCTTCAATCATCCTGGAATTCAGCTGCCTGCAGAGGCCATGCATTGAGCTGCTCACCCACCTGGCTTCCCCTGCAGCATGCTAATGAGAGCAATGAATCTTAGCTGTGGACACTTTCCCAGGAACATTTGCAGAGCAGTGAAGAAAATTAAAGTTCATTGTCACAACTAAGGCTTTCTTCTGGAAATCACTTCTCAATTAAAGCAATAATGGTGTACACTCAGCACCGACTACAAGCACAACAAGCACAGTAAAGATAAAATTAAAATACTTATGACCAAAAATCTTATTTAATGATGTATCAGTTTAAAGGGTATGGACTGAGGCTTTATGAACACAAACTTTGTGATTTGCTGAGAATAAGCAGTAGGAACAACTGAAGTTACAAGTCTGTTATAATACTAAAACCCACGTTACTTCAAAATAAATACTTACAAGAAATTCACTTACATATTTAAGCTAAATTTTCTTTGAATCAGAAAATTACACCTATCACTCCATTTGACAAGTGAGCAGTTAATGTAACTAAGGGGAATTAAAAGTTTCTTTTTCCCTTTTTATGTAAAAAATAGGCGAAGAGAACACATATAAACTGGATTTCCTTCAGCATGGAACAAAATTTATCAGCTCACAGAAACTGATGCAGTGCTAACAAAATTAAAATTAGCAAACTATTAAAATTTTACAATGCCACCAGCTGCAAGGTACTGTGGTAAACTCCCCTCACAACAATGCAGGGAATAATACTATTTTAATCTACTTGCCAAGACACAGACCATTGAAGTTTTAGCAATTTCAGCAATGGTAAACATAATCTAACAGCATTTCCTTGAACCAGATCCCAGAATTTTAAGTCAACGTCTATATCTCTTAGTCATGCATCACAAAAAACTATATATATGTATATATATACATGTATATATATATTTTAATTCTACTGTGTACTTAGTGTGAAGGAATGCTCCTGTAAGCCACTTAGTGTGGATTAACGAGTGTACTAAGGCAAACTTTTTAAACATAATTAAAATACTTTTGCATGAGTAGATTTCACTATAAGCAGGAAGGCTTGAAACAAAGTTTAGTACAATTGAAGTCCTACTTACTTAACTCCTCAAATATGAAGACTGAAAGGCTATGTAAAATCTGTGCACACCCAAAATACTGGTAAATACATTCTTGGGAGTACAGAATCATGAACTGCACAGAATGTCCTCAGCAAAATGATACAGCATAGCCCTAAACTGGTTACTTGAGAAAAAGAAAATCAATATTTTATTTTTCTATGTCTTGCAAATTGAAAAGAAATAATTCAGAAAAACAAATTGTAACCTGAAAGCTATAATAAAATCAAAGCTCAAACTGAGCTTTTTTTATTAACTGATTTCTGATCCTATTAGACTCATCTTCATTTTTTTTTATACATCAGGCCAATGAGATCCACTTAAAATTCAGATGTAGCATTGTTGATATACAAACTAAATTAAAATTGCTGTTTCCTTGAAGGGCCACGAAACCAAGAAGGAATCATTACAAATGTTCTGCAGATTATTCCAGTTAAAATGGAAAAGCTTAAGGACTTGTAATGAAAATGAAATTGGCTTACTGAACTATTCAGATAAACTTTACACCTCAGACATGTCTGTAAAAGGGGTAACACAGACTACACAAATGAAAAAGATGTGAATTCTCCTGGGCAGTAACACTGTATCTGTAATAAATTTGAATGAATCATCCTCACCAGGCTTGCAGGATTTTTGTAGAAGATTTTGCTGAGAAAAATCAAATGTCTCCCAAAAGACAAAACACAGAAGCAGTAGCAAACAAGCAGGAAAGCCAAACACAGCACACTATCACAACTTAGCCTCAAATGTTCCCACAAGAGAATTCATAAGGATACAAAGTGTTGCTTTCAGGAGAAAAAAAAATTTCTAGTAAGACTTTCCAAGAGAATTTGCTAATGACACTTTTCTCATGGTGCTGTCACACAGGAAACTTCTCAAATAAAATATATAGATTTCCAATGCATCCTTCCTTCCTAATTTATTCTCATGCAATGGCAAGAAACCAGCATGAATCCTCCAAAACAAGAAAATCAGAGTTTTCACGTTGCAATGTTTTGGTAAGTAAGTTCTAGTATAGTATCTCTGACAAGTTTCCAGCTAAATCATTGCTGAACAAGCAGACAAAAATCACCTAGATTGGAATCATGAAGTCTAACTGTTAGCATAGTTAAAACAGACTTGCTTCACCCTAAATAATAAATACAACAGCCAAAAACTGAACTCAAAGGCATCACAGGAGATAGAAGAAGCACAAGAAAACTGTTTTCCTCGAGGGAATCACAGTCCTTTCGAAAAGTCATCCATATACAAAATAATTTGACCAAATTCTCAAAAGAATGACTTTTTACAAGCATGCACTTGCAGATCTTCAATACACTGATATAACACTGTATTTGATTCTGCATTGCTGAAATGGGCGTCAGGTCAGCAGAATAAAATTAAGCAGAACTTTTCCCTTTGGGGATATATACGTGGGGTGTTTCTAACATAAATTAATCCACTACACATTTACAAAAAAAACCAAAAACCCACCAAAAAAAAAGAAAAAAAAGAAAAAAAACCCCGAACAAAAAAAATATGCAGAAAAGACCAAGATGTGTGTAGAACTAAAGAAGGGTAGGAGTGGAGAAAGGAGGAGAAACTGAAGAAAAAGTGTGCAAGTACAGTATAGTACAGTATGCTAACTTCAGGTTCCTGAATTTAAAATGCAGCACGAGTTAAACGTTGACTGAAAACCAAGAGAAATGCCCAGTTAAAACACTTGTTGACCAGGCAATCAATAAGCTGGTAGTGGTACATGGATTGGGTGGCCCAGAGAAAGCTCAAGTCTCCCATGTTGTCAGCTTTGTTCTTCTTAAGGAAAACAGTGAAAGACTCAAAAACGCAGTGCCAAAAATTCATTATATATTCCACTAGTTTCACAAACACCAATCAACCTGACAAATAGATGTAGTTGATCTGAAATCAAAACATAAGTAAAAACAGGTTTTTATCTATTCCACATTTTTGACCTGGAAATATCAGGTATCTAGAAGTTTTGCCACTTTGCTTTAAAAAATTTTGCATAAGTCTTCAGAAAGGGACCACTTTACGTACTTCAGCGGTGACATATTAAGGGAAAACTGCTAAAATTAACAGAAACACTCATTGCAATGTTAAGAAGGAAAACCAATTGTCCTCACTCCAAGGGAGCTCAAGACAGAACTTGAGTTTTCCCACCACATGGCTCCTCCCCACAAAGAAAACCTCTGCTTTAGTTATTTGCATTATACTTGACACATCTATGGCTTCAAACTCGCACAACACAGAGCTGGCATCCACATATCCAAGAACATCTTTTGCTGGTGCCACCACATCCTAAATACCAGGATGTACAGATGTCAGCAGTGGAATGTCTCATTTTCTGAGTCACAGAATGACTGGTTTAGAACATTACTACTACCATTACAGACACTAGGCAGGCTCACATGGACTGACTCTGGCGAAAAATCTTAACAGCTGCAGTAATGGAAAGCATTAAACTAGCTCAGAGAAAGCACGAGCATGTCATCATAGAACTTTAAATTGCTATTGATTCTTCAGAATATCACTCTCACAAAAGAGCTGTATTCAAGGAAGAATATTTTTTTAAGTCCCTTTTTATTCATTTATTCTGTGTTAGGCTACCAGTGTGCCTGTTACAACACTGACAGGGCCCAGCTCGATGTGAACACAAGGGTGGAGTATGAACAGTATCAGAATATGGTCTGAGATATCTTGTTTGTATCAAACCACCACAACAACTGATGAAACTTTCTACTGCCTGGCCAAAACCACAACACTATATGATAACATTGGAGTAAACCTAAAAAATACTGAGATGCTGTGCAGACCATTAGTAGTTCACCTTATCTTAGCAGAAACCTATCACGCTCAGAAGCTGGAAATACAGAGATGCTCATACTGTCTAATTCATGCAGAGGTTTTCAGAAGTGTTCTTGTCAGTCTCCCCAGATGCTTTTTTCCTCCTCAAAACTCCAATTTTCTGACAAATATTTTTAGCCTGTATTTCTTATCCTAGTCTTGATTTTGAAAGATTCTACACATGTGTAATGAGTATAAAAACTGTAATTTTGCAATAGTAAGTATAATCTCAATACACAAAAGTAGTTTTCCTCTCCATTTTACAGATCCAATGTGACTGTGTTCAATTCAGTTTATGTAATATTTTTTTCCCTTCCTTGAGTTATTTTTGTAGAACCTTTGCTATTATAGACTTCTTTGCACTCGGGCGATGAGACCAAGCACTGATTTGAAGTAGATGAATGGAGAAATTCAGAAATGTATAATTGCTGCAGGAAAGGAGAGAAAGGAAAATGTACTCAAATACTCACTTTGATGAATCTATGAAGTATATTACAAGAGCACCAATACTAAGAGCGAAGACTAAGACAACCTACAAAAGAAAAGAAAAGAGTAATTATTTAACACCATTAACCATAATATCTTTTACATAGAAAACCAAAAAAAAAAGACAACAAAAATAAATCATAAGCTAGTTTAATTTCAGCTCTTATTTTCTTTAGGAAATTAGTGATACTTGAGCTTCAAACATTACATATTATCATAGAATGCTTTCTTGCATTAAAATGAGACAAAAAAATCTGGCTTTACCAGAACTCTTCTTCAGGATTGCTCATTGGTACATAAACCAAGAGTGACCAAATTCCATTTATATACATGGATGTGAAACCCACAGGAAAACTGTAAGAATGCACTCTGCCCTACCTGTTGGAATATTCCAAGATAGATACAAACACTGTTTCAATCTGAATCAAACCTGCTCCACAATTTATTATCAATCCATTTTAAGTGAAGTCTGATTTTTTTTAAAAACAAAATTTTAAAGAGTGCTGAGTGTTCTGAGAACACAGAGCTTACAATTTTGGCAAAAAAATTTTCTTTTCCCAAACCAGTTTTAAACACAGCTATTCACTTTCAAACAATTTAAAGTCAAGTATTAGTGGTAATGTTTTACCCTGCATTCTGTGGAATCATTTCTATAGTAACAGCACCCTCAAAGCCACTATTAAATATAGGTATCTCTTAAAAAAAAAAGAAAGAAAGAAAACAGCAATAACGAAACAATAAAAAGCAAACAATCTATAAATAGCAGAAGAAAGAAAAGAAGAAAAAAACAACCCCAAAAAAGCCACAGGACAAAACAGATTTACCCTATGGCAGGAGTTTTGGGTTGCAGAATGCTGAGATGGCCACTTAATGCTGGAAATGAAATTTTAAAAACTAAGATTGTAATCCATTTGGGACTCTATAAATACTCTTCTTATTCATTCAAGTTTCACAAAGCACACAAGGGCTTTGTAAAACTTTTATTTTCCTTTTCACATAGCAAGTCCTGAGTAATGACTTTCAGTCATTGACTCTGACCCAAAGGAGTCCTGTAGAGCAAACCCAGCAAAACACTGCATCAGCCTTATATTTCAGTTATAGCCAGTCCTTTGTTAATCATCACTGTGCTGCCTAAATCTTATAGAGATTCTGGGTGAGACCTTCCTAAACACTTAAGGCTTTCAGATGTTCTGTGACAGTTCATGTAACTGCCACTAAAATGCATATATATATATATATTTATATACACACCTGATTTTAAATCAAGGCTAATTTTTGCTTCTATTGCCTTGAAACACATACCTAACATGATAGATAACGTCTCAACAAACCACAGAAAGGGTATCAGAACAGAATGGAACATGAAACTCCTTTTTTTTTTACCTGCTAGCAGAGAAACACATTTTTCCTTTGCTAAGTGATACGGGACTTGAGCTGAAATTGAAACCATCAAGTGTGTGGGAAAAACAGAGCCTGAACCAACCAGGTTAAAGTCATAATAAAATAAATAAAAAAAATAATTTTAACAAACCCCAAACTCTTGCATGCTATATGATAATGTCTCAGATGTAAGTTTTTTGTATTCCCATTTAGAGAACGTGGAGTGTAAGCTGGTTATTCAGACCCAGGATGACAATTACTGAGTTTGCTCTAGTGTTCCCTAGATTGCCAGGGGAGATAATATCTGTTTTAGAGACCTTACTAGGCTGGAGGGGTGTCACAAACATAGACCCATACCCCAAAGTCACAGCAACTCAAATCTGAGGGAGGGAAAAGTACACATGTATGTGAATTACTGCCTTTCTTCTTAACTAGGCCATGGCAAGAAGTTTGCTTCCTTTGTTTATTACTTCAATGTGTTTGCCAAAACACTGCAATTGCTACACATCTATTATAACCCTCTGTACAGAAGGAAAGAATCCTTTAATTTATAATAGCTTGCTGTTTGTATAAGATTGAGAAATGTGAACTCATTTGCTAACAGCTATACTGACTAAGCACTTACTAACAAATTAAAAATAAACACCAACATGATTAAAGAAAGCAGGGGGAAATACATGGAATAGTTGCTGCACATCTCTAAATCTTTCATAAAAAAAGGAACAGAAAAATCCAGTCCCAGATTTAAACAAAAATGAAGAATGCCTTTTTATGGCAAGAGTCAGAGAAGCTGCAGATAAAATCCATCTAAGGAAAACTAAAAATGTTTTGACTGATTCCAAGATGTTCTAGAAGAGCTTTGACTGCAGTCAAAATTTAGGCATCCACAATAAATACAAAAAGAAAAAAGAGAAAGAAAAAAAGGGGAGTTTTGATAAGGGGGTAACAGCATAATAATACTGCAGGCAAGAACCAGCTCTGAGAAACACTGTCCCAAATAGGCTCAGGCCACAGCCCATGTAACAAAGGGACAATCCAAGGGGTGGCACTGTTCCCCCTGCAACTCCAAAACTGCACTATTGAAGAGAAAAGGGAAAGCCAGAAGGCTGGTTCATTAGACAGGAGGGCTACAGTTGTTAATGAAGAGACTCTAGAGCAGGAACTTCAGACTCTCATATGCTGTAACACTTGAACATTCTGTGAAAGTTGAAACAGAACTCTTTGAAGTTTCAAAGGCAAATTCGTGCTTATACAAGATTAAATTATCCAAACATAATTAATACAAAATAGCATAGAACTCAAGAGGCAAAGAAGAAAATCAAAAAGGAATAATCATCTCTTTTTATTTTCCTCCAAAATTAAGTATTAAAATAGGACGTATGCAGTGAAAAAAACAAAAAAAAACAAACCAAAAACTTTCAGAAATCTGTAACCCCTAACACCTTGGGGCATCAGAGAGTTTTTATTTTTTCTGACAACAATCTCTTCTGTACTGTTCTTCAAAAATGTTTCTTTCAAACTCTTATTCTAAGGTTAAATTATTCTGCCCAAAAGCCACTGTAATCCTTAGAATATAGTAGGTTTTTAGTTACTAATATTTTTTGAAATTTACTTGGTTTTCATTTCTACATTCACACAGTAAAATCTCTTAATAAGATACTCAGTTTTATCAACTATGATTTTAAAATAAAATTTCATTTGTTTTTATATTTATAATTAGTTATGGAGAACACTAATTAGTTCCTGTATACATAAAGCTAAAGCCCCAATGATCCATTAAATTTTTGTTACAAATGTCTGCACTACTAAGATGTGAATAGCCTGATGTTTTGATCGATCTTGGATGAAAATTCTCATGCCTTAAATATAAACCCCAAATGTCCTTTAACCATCAAATAAGAGTTCAATTGTAGTTCTTTTATAGACAGACAGAATTTGCTTGTCCAGATTTGTTAGGAATGAAAATCATAAAAATCTAAGGATCCACCTGCTTCAGGTTACATTTCAGAACTTATCAATTCCTTCTAGTTTGGCAATCCCAACATTACTTTGTAGACTCTAGGAGATGCACCCACATCTCTGCAATTTAACAGAAGTAAGACCTTCTTGATCATAGAAGATGCAGAGTGTCTTACCTAAAATTGCCAACTCTTAGTAACTGAGTTAACTTAATTGCTAACTTAGATACTTAATTGCTAACTCTGAGTTACTATATCTTCATTTTGAGCTTGAAGCAACTAAAACACTAAATCCAAATTTTGCAATTTTTATAGCCACATTAAAAACTTTTCAGAAACCCAGACTTGAAAATCTTTTACAAGATTTTACATGCAAGTCATTTCCTTTCAGTGACATTTTACGATTTTGTTTTTTGTTTACTGCTATTACACAAAAAGGAGTTAACTAAAAAGTTCATCAGCTATTAAATTTTACAGTAACTAATTTAGCCATCAGCACACAATAAAAACAGTACTGTAAACTTGGTAGCTTTACAAGATTTTTTGCTATATAAATTTTCCCCTTCAGCAAAGCTCATAGAGGCTTACATTTTCCAAGACAAGTCTGAGTTTATTCAAAAGACGAGGTGAAGGGGAGTGAGAAATGATTACCTGATAAAGCAGAGGGCAGTAAATTCTCCGTAAGCTTCTGTCAGAAAATTCATAGCAAGGATTTAATTTTAAAACCAAAAGGCATCAAAGTAGTCCAGCAAGAGTTCTGACTGATGACCATGAGTAATCAGAAGTCTTGGTTATTGTCCTTAGTCCTACCATTCCTGTGATGTGTGACAAGCACACTACTTGACCTCTCCAGGCTCTCAGTTCTCCCTCTTGCTTGCATTTGGCAGGAATACTCCATGTCAACCCTTTAGGGCAGCCTCTCCCTTCACTACTGGTGTTTGCAGTGGATCTTGCACAGCTGAGAGCTCTCCTGAGGCCACAGCAACCACCAAGACCCCAAACAGGACATGGCATCAGTGGCAGCAGCACTGCCTATGACAGCAAAGGGGCTTTGTGCATTAAAGGGTTTTATTTAGGTAGAAAGGTGTCAGTAACTCTGTGATAAACTTCTTGCCAATTTTTCTGGAACTATCTTTTTGGTACCATAAAGTCACTACCCAGTATAATAAGGCTTTTAGTTTATTACTAAAATTCTGTACTTATGGTAAATATATCTTTAAAAATACAGTTAATATGTAATGCATCTCTTTTTACAGACTTGAATAATAGTGATAAGAAATATAGAAACAACATTATTTCTGAGACAGAAAGCAGATAAGAGCAAACAGAGAAGAGTTACCAAAAAAAAAAATTGGCACATGTTTAATTCCCAAATATCTAATTTATGCATCAGAGCAGTAATTTGGGAATATCTGAAAGGTACAAGTAAAAGCCATGGTAAAGGCCTGAATCACTGTGAGCTTGCCTAACTACTCATGATTGTAGTAAGTAACTGATGTAATAGGTCACTGGGAATAGAATATGAAACATCTCTGAATGAAACCATACTAAGGAGAATTAGCAAATTCAGTGTCCCTGCCACAAGCTCTGTTTTCTTCTCTCTCCAATAAAAGATTCAGCTTTCTTGCATAGATTTGAACAGACTACATCTCATTTGGGCAGACTGCTTTTTATAAGGAATGCTGTGAAATCAAAATTAAGGAATTAT